CTTTCGAGCATAAAGAGCACTCAAACAAACCTGAACTTTCGAAATATATTTGGACATTGAAAGATAGCAAGAAAGATTTTAATATCAATTGGCAAATTTTGAAACGCGCTATTTCGTATACGGGAGGATCAAAACGATGTAATTTATGTTTAGAGGAAAAATTTTGTATTTTGAAAGAAAACCAAAACCGTTTACTCAATAAAAGAATGGAAATTATATCTACGTGCAGACATAGGAAGAAATTTCGCGTAAACAACGCAAGCAATACACTCCCACAATTCGATTAGGCATTTCCGCGTAAACAACGCAAACAATAGATGAATGCATGCTTTGTTTCACCCACACACCCCCACGTTCCGGCCAAAACACATATAAGCAGCCCTATTTTTCGAAACTTGTCATACCGCCTGATGATTCTTTACTGATGAAACAGACTGTTGCGGAATTTTGAGGTAAGCGAAATTCTATATATATATATATATATATATATATATATATATATATATATATATATATATATATATATATATATATATATATATATATATATATATATATATATATATATATAGATTGTCTATATCTTAAAATTAAATATCGCTACTCTGAGTTTCACGTCCTTTCTAGACGATCATCAGGCGATTTTGTTCACGATTTTGTTACTGATTACGTGATTGCATCATCATCAACCGTTCGCTGACGCGTTAACTTGTTTGTTCGCGCGCGTTCGAATTTCCCGGCGCTGAATTTTTCTCGATGGCGACATTTCGCGAAGAACTCGGATCTTTTGTTCAATAGATTGGTTTTATGTGATTTCATGATTTCTAATTTCTCTTCTATGCACAAATTACAACGCCTACCGCCAGGTAGGAATTCAATACATTCAATACATTCAATACAATACAATTCAATACATTCAATACATACAATTCAATACAAATTCAATTCATTTCAATACGTGAAACTCAGAGTAACGATATTTAATTTTAAGATATAGACAATCTATATATATATATATATATATATATATATATATATATATATATATATATATATATATATATATATATATATTATATATATATATATATATATATATATATATATAGATTGTCTATATCTTAAAATTAAATATCGCTACCCTGAGTTTCACGTCCTTTCTAGACGATCATCAGGCGGAAAATCGCCTGATGATCGTCTAGAAAGGACGTGAAACTCACAGTAGCGATATTTAATTTTAAGATATAGACAATCTATATAAGCTCTGCTATACTTTTAGTATTGAGCACTTTATATATCTAGACAACCAAAACAAATTGAATTATATATATATATATATATATATATATATATATATATATATATATATATATATATATATATATATATATATATATATATATATATATATATATGTATATATATATATATATATATATATAATTACTATTCTTACTTAAAATGTTTTTTTGTCTCTACTCCGAGTTTCACGCATCACTGCGATCATCAGGAGACATTGTTCTCAAATACCGTTTGATTTTCGTTGTTTGATGGCGTGACTGCGCGCGCGCGCGAGGATTGTTGATGTTGCTTACACGCGCGCAGACTACATTTCCCGCTAAAAATTGTTTCTGGTGCACGCACTTCGAGAAGATTTCCGATCTTTTGTTGAGTAGATTTTTGTCGCGAGAGTTTAAAATCAGCAGCTTCTCTTGCAAGCATAGGTTGCAAGCATGCCTGTAACCTGTAACCTGTAACCTTTTTATTCGAA